GAGGCTTAGTTTTTGGCTTTTTGATTGATAGGTTGGGGAGAATGGCGGTTTATTCGCCTAAAAAAAGACCAAGGTGAGTTGTATATAGGTGCTTTTTCCGGAAAAGTTTACGGAGTTTTTGGTCGTTTTTGGCGAAATGCTAAACAGGGAATGATGATTTTTCTCAAAACAGGGCGCCAGGAAGCGAAGTAATTTTTAATTACGGAGCGAATTATTTAGAGAGAGTTAGAGTGGACTGGGTTTTTGGCTAATAAGGCAAGGGCAGTTAAGGTTTCGGTGGATTATGGAGAATTTGGGCAGTTTGCTGAGTGGCTTGGTATTCTTGCCTTAAAGTATTAAGGTCGCTGTGGTTTAAGACTTGTTCAGGGGTAAGGTTTTTGATGTCGCGTAATCAAGCATAAAAATTAACTTCTTGCGGGTCAAATTGCGAACCAAAAGCATTGGCTCAGTCTTGGGTTTGTTGGGAGGTGAAATGGTGGTTTTGTCAGAGTTGGATTAGTTGAGGAATGAAGGAAGAGTGAATAGTTGTTCAATCGTCCCTTGATGACTTAAATTGCTTAGTTAAATCCTTTTCTTCTCAACTATTTCTTTTTTTTCTTTTAGAATTGATTGTTTCAGATAAATCTGCTGATTTATTATAACTTAAATTAGTTTCATTGCCCATTTGGTTGCCAAATAAAGCATGACCTCCTTGAACATTCATACTGCCAACTGTAATATTATTAATTACTTGAGTAATTTGCTTTTCTCCTTGCCGAGCAGTTTCTTCTAATTGGGTTTTTAGCTTAGTGATTTCTTCTTGGTATTGGCAAAGTTGATTGATTTCTTTTGCTGTTATTTGTTTGCTTAATGTTCTTTTGCAACCCTCTAATCATCTAAGATTATTTTCTTTTTGAGCTTGTAGCAAATCTTCTAAGTCTTCTTTCATACTAGGCTTATTAGAAATAATAGTATTCTTTAGCACTTCTAATTGTTGTTTTTTTCTTTCTAGCTCTTGATAAGCATTATTGCCCTCTGCTTCTAATTCACTTACCCTTGCTTTTAAGGCTTTGATTTCAATAAGCTTACTTTTCATTTCTTCACTGATGGTGAGTTCGTTAGTGGTGATTATTTTTTCTAATTCATCAGATTTTTGGAAGATAAGATTTAAAGCTTTTTTGAAGTCATCATACTTTTTGGCCTTAGCCAAGCTTTCTCATAGAATTGTTTGTTCTTCACTAGCACTAATTTCTTTGGCTAATTGTTGAATTTTTATTAGGTGGGTGTTTAGTTCGGAAGTTTTGTTTTGCAAACTATAAAATTGTTCGTTAATTAATCGAGAATTTTGCGGTTGAGGAAGATTTTTAAAGTTTAATAAGCGACTAGTGTAAATCGCTGAGGGATGGACTTGATAAGAAAGAGGCACTATATTGTTGTTAAGATTTTTTGTTGTTTCCATTCCTTGGTATTGCTGTTCAAATTTTTCATCTTTATTTAAACGCCAACTGTGTAAAATCTTGTATAATTCATCAGCTGTTGGTCGTTTTTTTGGATCAGCATCTCAGCATTGGCTAATTAAGTCTTTTAATAGTTGAGGCGTTTGTAAAGAATTTAAGTCGGGTCTTAACCCATTGCATATTTTGCAAGCTAAATTCGCGTCATGAGAAATATTATAATGAGGAGGTAATCCTGCTAGCACCTCATGAGCCATGATGCCCCAAGAATAAATATCACTAGCTTGGGTGTAAGGTTTGCTACTTAAAACTTCCGGAGCTACATAAGGTAAAACTCCATAAATTTTCTCTTGATTGGTTTCGTTAGCTGGCTTACATAAACCTAAGTCAGTTATAAAACAATGAATATCACTCTTATCACCTTTTTTATCACTTCTATTTAAAATATTCCCTGAATGAAAATCCCGGTGAGTTAACCCTAGCCTATGAATTTGCTTTAATCCATCGGCTATTCTTCACAGTTGAGCTAATCTCTCTTCAAAATTTAACTGGCTACTGTTCCTCAAAAAGCTTCTTAAGTCTCCGTCTTTAATATAATCCATGACCATGAGATAGTTCTCGGTTTGTGGGTCTTGGGAAATACCATGACACTTAACAATTCGAACTGAAGTAAACATTTTATGATTAGCAATCTCTTGCAAAAAATCTTCTTTAATATCCGCTGAATCATTTAGACTTTTTAGAGCAACTGGTTTTTGATTATTGTCTTTATTGTTTCATTTTGCTTTATAGATTTTGCCAAATCCTCCTTCGGCTAAGTATTCAGTTTCGGCAAATTTCTCATAAGGAATTCATTCTATTATTCCTTTGTAGTCAGTAGCTTTTTGTTGATATTTTTCGATAAAGTCATCAACTTCCGAGCTACCACTGGAATTGCAAGTTCGACATCAGTATTTAGAATTTTTAGGTCACTGACATTTAGGACATAAGCCATGCTCTTTGAATCTTTTGTTTAAATTTTGGTAGTTTTCTAGGTTATTAGTAATTCATTCGGGAGTTAGGTCTTTGGTAGTTTTTAGATAGTTTACGAATTCATAGTCGTCTAGTTTGGCTCCGGCATTTGTTCATTGCTTTATTTCTTCTTCAGCGAAGTTAAGATTTTTTCATGGTTGTTTTAGTTTATATTCTTGGAGTTTTTGGGGGAAGTTTTTGATTCATCCATCTCATTCTTTTTCTACTTCCCCTTGTTCATCAGCAAAGCAACTATAGATAGCTTTTACTTTAGCCTCTTTTCTTTCCTCTTCCTCTGCTGAACAAGAAAAATTTTCCAAACTATCCGGTAAATATTCTAAACCCCTATCTATATCGGTATCATCAATATTTAATTCTTTTAATTTACTTAAATTTTCCAAAGGCTTTAAACTACCTATAAAAGGGTTACTATGAATTCCCAATTCTTCTAAACCAACCAAATCCTTAAATATAGTTAAATCAGGGAGATTGTTATCTGAGCAAGAAAGTATCTTTAAATTAATACAATTAGTTAGATTAAGGTTGGTTAGTTGATTACCAGAGCAAGCAAGATTAATTAATTTAGCACAATTGCTTAAGTTTAGAGTGGTTAGTTTGGTTTTTAAGTAAGTTCCATTAACTGTTACTTTTTCTAAATTGGAATAGGAAGATAAATCTAAGTCTTTGCCTTCTAATTGTTTGGTTTCTTCTGATGAAAGTTTATTAGTGGTATTGTTTTGCTGGGTGATTGCTGTTTCTCGACCAATTTCTATTGCTTTTACTTGTTCTTTATCTTGGGGAGTAGGGTACTTTCCATCTAGGTAAGTTTGAAGGGATAATCCAGCTTTTACTAATTCTTGGCTGGGTGATTGCCCTTGGTCTCTTCAATAAGTAGCTAAGAAAACATTATCTTTAGTTAAACCAGCTTTAATTCATTCTTGAGCTTGTTGGAGAGTAAAGTTATGGGTTTTTCATTGATTGACTCTGTCGTGATCTTTTGGTTTAAAGCCAATGGCAATTCATTCTTGAACCTCTTGGTAAGTTAAATTGTTTTCTTCTCACTTTTGTTGGTAGGTTTTATAAGGATAAGAAGAATAATATGTTTTAGCAAAATCCTTATGAATAGTTGTTCATTGTCCTTTTCTTACTCTCTTTTCAATTAACTCTTTATTCTTTTGGTTCAAATCAGTCAGATCATTATAATCTAAACTATGCCATTTATCCTTTTCTGCTCTGATTTCCTCAACTACTTCATCACTTAATACTCAATAGATAAAATCTTGTTTATCTAAGCTAGTGCTACGAATAGGAATTTGAACAGGCTGATTTAATTTGCTAACAAAATAAAAAAAAACTTCAGCGTCTGGAAGATTTTTTCAGTTATTACCCTCAGCAAAACGCAGAAAACACATCGTATTAAAAATACCGCCACTATACTTAATGTTTTCCGCAAAAGTTAATTTTAAAACTTTATCTCAAGACTTGTTTTCTCATTCTATGCTTTGGATAGTTAAAGGGGGAGTGGTGATTGCGCCAAGCGGGTGTAAACCTAAAGGAGTAGTATCTCAATAAGCTGATTCAGTGGTTGGAAGCATAATTATTCTTTAACTCCTTTCTTGGCTTTAATTATTAAGTAAGTGATTAAGCCTAAGCTTGCTATACCGCCAATGATATAGAGTGGCAAATATGAATTATTTGACCTTTGATTTTGACTATTAGTTTTCTGCAAGCCAGAACTTGGCAAACTAGATTCAGAAGAAAAACCCCGAGACATTCTCTGTTGCTCTTGCTTTTCACTTTCTTTCTTTCAAGCCTCTTTAATCTCTCCCTTATGACTAAATATTCACTGTTCAATTTCAGTAACTACTGGTCCGGCTTGGTCGGTATTATTAAAAACTTTATTTTTCAATTGCTGATACTTAACTTGTAAGTTAGTTGGTAAAGCATAATTAGGAGGCATCATACTAGCTAAATGTTGAGCACTCCTTTCTTGATAATCATCCATATATTCTTTGGTATATTGATAACAAACAATACAAATCTTTTTACCGGCTTGATTAATCATTACTGGTTCAACCGGTAATAAGTAAGCTCCTTCGTTGATTCTTAAAATGTTTTCATTACGACACTCTGCTTTTAGTTTTTGATTATTGGCAGCATCATAATGAGAACAAGCCCATTCAGAGTAATTTATTTGGTTAGTAGATTGGGTTTGGTGAGAAATAGAAGTTTTGCTACTCTCTCTCTCTCTCTCTCTCATTTTAACCTCAACTTTCTCTTTAGCTTTTTCTTGTCTTTGTTGATAACACTTAAAGCAAATTATTCCCGTTTGTTGAGCCGGATTATTATAATAAGTATTCCCTAAGCATTTTTGTTGACAAATATCACAGAGAGGGGCGTAATGTTTATAAAAGCACTCTTTTGAACAAAATCTTTTGCCATCACTCCCATCTCCTTTTTGTCAATTAGCTCCATCACGGCTTTTTTTACATTCATCACAGGGAGCTAAATAAGCATTAAGGCAAGCTTGATTACAAAAGGTTTTTTCGTATTCGGTATTTTTGAGGTGGAAGTAAGGGTTGGTGAGGTTTTTAGCTTGGCAATAGTGGCATTTAGAAGAATTTAGTTTTTTTAGGGCTTGGGTGTTGATATTTTTTAATTCATTGATTAGTCTTTTGTATTCACCTAGGGTTGTTTTTCAAGCATTGTTTGTTCTTAATTCTCACAATTTACCATTGTTTCAATGGGAATCAGCATAACTTTCATTATAGATGTGCTTTCTTAAAGCGGAACTAGATTCTTCATATTGCTTTTCACTATCAATGATTTCCTTTATCTTTGCTAAGTCTTCTTTTATTTCTTTTAATATTCCATGATTTTTACTATAAAGAGGAAAATAGCTTTCAAATGCTCTTAATTCTTGTTGCTGTTTTTCTTTTTCATCACTTTCAACCATAATACCAAATCTTATATTATAATTTTAGGAATTTGGGTTGAATAAGCTTTGCCTGTTGTGGTTTTTTTTGATTTTAGTTTCCTTTTGCAATAAGAAGATAAATAACCAAAGCAACTGCACCAGCAATTATTAACTTGGTAGTAAAATCGGGTTTAAGGTTACCAACAGTGTTATTTCAATTGGCTCCACTGATAGAACCACCTGCCACACTAGCTCCGGTAGTGATAGCATTGGCTTGGTCTTTTTCTAGTCTTTTTAATTGGTTTCATAATTCGTCGTTATTTTGCCGTTGTTTTCTTAACTCATTAATTATAAGCAACTCTTCGTTTTTTCATTGTTCTTTTTCTTCTGTTGTAAGATTAGGATCTCGTTGTTTAGCTTGAGCTTCTTTAAGCCTATTTTCTAATTTATTTGCTTTGCCTGTGCCTTCTTCGTGCTGCTGTCTTAACTCTTCTCGAAGCTTATTTATTTCTTCGAGAGATTTATTTAGCAAATTATAAGCCTCAGGCGGAGCTTGGTTATTTGACTTATTATTTCCGCTTTCAACTACTGCTTCAACAACTTTACCACCAACAAAACCAATGCCAGCACAAGCGGCACAGACAGCTAAACTAGCTCCACCCGTAAAAGGAGCCGCACAGACGCCACAAATGGTTCCTAACAATCCTCAATTTACCATTTATTTAGTTCCTCCTGGAGTTTTGTTTGGGTTACTCATGGTTAGCTTTTCTTTAATAATGGCTAATTGGCTAGTGATTTCTTTTAAGGCTTTGTAATATTTACCAATATGATTAGCTTGTTCTTTTAGGATGGCTTTGATATTTTGGGCTTGGGATTCGATTTGGGATATTTTTTGGATTAGTTCTTTATTCATATTTTGTTTGGGTTTTTTAGGGAAGCTTTAGGGAAGGTTAATCTATTCGGGCTCTTAAATCAGCTACTTGTCTCTGTAAATCTCGGACTTCCATTTCTAAGGTTGAACTGGTTGTTTGTTGTAGGCTACTACTCATATTGTTGATAGCATTTCCAACTTTCTGTAAAAGTTCATTGGTTTCGTCTATTCGCATATCAATGGTATCTCTAACTACACTTACAATGTCTTCTAGTTTATCATCTCGGGGACTTTCCCACTTTCCATTAAAGTGATGTAATTGTCCACTCTCCTTTAAGTTTCAGAAAAACTCAAAGAATTCTCCTAACTGAATACCAGCTTGGGCAGGCTGTTGTTCGGTAGCATTTTCAGGCTTTATTTCGGGTAAGGCTTTCTGAGTGTCGGGGTGGCTAATAAATTTTCTTCAAAAGGGCAGGAACAATTCGTTAAAGGATTTGATGGAGAATTTGTTCACAAGCTCATTATCTTCTTTTTTTAAGACGGCAGTCTCAGTTCAGTGTGATGGAAATTGATTGTAAATGCCTGTTCTCTTGGCATGTTCATAGAAATCTCCTAAAGTTCAACTAAAATCTAAGGGATTGGAAAGCCGACCAGGGCGGTAAACAGCTTTGTCGACTTCGTTCAAGTAATTAGTGGCAAAGATCCAGAGATTTTGGCTTTGTTTGGTTTTATCTACTCCTTCCATACATTCTTTTAAGAAGACTAAGTAAGAAGGAGATTTAGAAAAAGTATTTGTGTTAATCTGATTAGCTTCATCCACAAAAAGGATATAACGAACTTCACCACCATTAACTCTCTCAAAGCCAAAGTTATCAACTAAGTTTCAAGTTATGTCGCTAATGGTATAGAGAAACTTTTGCACATTTTGGATATCCGACTCATGATCATTTACGGTAGCCGTAAGCGAAGAACCTTTAAGCTCAATCATAGGATACTGGTTAATTTTAAGACATATCCGCTTGGTGATAGAAGTTTTACCAGTTCCAGGAGCACCATAGAACAAAGCATTATTGTCTTTTCCGCTAGTAGGATCGACATCTCCTCGAGTTGGATTAATCAAGATTTTTCTTTCCCATTCTAAGATTTTTTTGTTGGTAAAAAAAAGTTCTTCACTATCTTTAAGTAAAGCAATTCCTGGCTTTGGGTTTTTTGTTCCTGGTAAATATTTTTGTTCGTCAGTAAGTTTTTCTCAACAGGCTGGTGGAAAATGAATGACATATTGTGCTCCGAAATTGCAAGGCGGTAATTCTTTTGTGCCGTAAGAATTTATTAATGTGTTTCATCCTTTGCTAAAGGAATTCTTGTAAACATGAACTAATTCATCAGCTCAATTGTGTACCTTTCTTTGCCAATGAAGTTTTAATGTTTTTCTTTTTTCTTCTTCTATTCTCATTGTTTCTTCATAGTCTCTTTTGCTTTTGTCTACTAATTCTTGACTATGCCTTATTTGCTCAACTTTTAATCATTCAATAGCTTGCTTCAAGGTTTCTTGTTTTTCATTAAAGGCAGCTCGTTGTCATTCAGTGCCATCGGCTAGTTGTGAATAACCTTGGAGAGTGGTTAATAGAGAAACATAATCATTAGGTTGTGCAGTTTGAAGTTTATCAATATCAGCTTGAATTTGGGCTTCTAATTGTTTTTTTTGTTTTTCTTGGGGCAAATAGACTAAAAACAGATAAGCTGCTCCAGCGGCTAAGAGCAAAAACATTAGGGTTGGCTTCTTTTGTTGTTTTTTTCTCTTTTGGGCTTCGGTGAGCTTTTGTTCTTGGTCGTAATACATATTATTCATTTCAATAAATCTTATTTCATGGGTAAACTGGACTTACTCTCTAAGTTTTTTGAGGAGTTCCATTTTACGGATGATTTTCTCTTCTTGAGCTTGTTCGGCTTTCAGTCTCCTTTGGGCTTTGCGGTCTTGGCTTTCGTGGGTGAGATAGTAGGTGATAAGGATAAGGAGAACAACAATTCCGATAAGAACTAAACCACGTTGCCAAGGTTCTAAGTTGGTATAATTTGGACTAAAATCAGTTCAAAGCTCGCTGGCTTTGTGTTCTAGCTTTTGGGTTTGTTCACCAAGCTTCTGCTTAGCTTCTTGGAGGTTAAGGTTGAGGTTTTTCATAGCTAATAATCATATTCATCATACCGATGGCGTGGATGGTCAGATTTTTGGTTCATTAAAAAGAAAATCACCAAAACCACACCCACAATCAGAATTATGGTTTGCTGGTCTAATTGGGAAACATTTTGGGATGGTTGATTAGGTTGTCAAGGATTGTGTCCACTACCTGGATAATTGGACGGTAAGCCACTACTTCCGCCCGAGCCGTTAGGATCTTGATTAGGAACATTGGGATTAGGGGTTTTATTAGGAGGCAATGGAGAATTAGGATTAACTTTTCCTTCTAAAATAGCAATTAGTTGGTTGATGCTATTGCTGTAATCATAATTGTTAGCTTTATTTCAAGGATTAGCTATGATTTGTTTGACTATTTCATCATGTTTTGCTTTCAGGTTTTTAATAGCCTGATATAATTCTGTTACTTTTGTAGTATCGCCTTTTCTTTTTGCTTCTTCAGCTTGGCGATAAGCCTCCCCAATCTCTCCTTTAATCTTTTGTTCATCTAATTGTAACTTCTCCAATTCCACTAAAGCCTCATAATTAAGTCCATTGATTTCATTCATTTGACTATTTAAATCATTCGTAAAAGCCGTAATATAAGGAGTCAAGAAAAGACCAGTATAATCAGTTCAAATAATACAAAGACCAGAACGATAACCAACATTACTTTCAATTGCTCCAATATTCATTTCGGCAATGGCTTGATTACATTTAGCTAATAAAGCATTCTTGTGAGCTAAAAATTGCTCGGAACTACTACAATCTTTTAAAGCTTGAATGGCATTGCTCATGTCAGCTACTTTATTGAAAGTTCCTACAAGTTTTTGGATATCTTCATCTAAATTATGCCCCGCTCCTCAATCACAACGACCACCCGTTCAATAGCCACCATCCCCACTAATTCTTTGGGCTTGACGAGCACTAGTTTTAGAGAAAAAAGCATTTTTAACAGCTTGAGCGTTATAACTAATGGCTCCGACTGAACTACTGCCGCCAGAACCGAGGTTTCTTCCGCTTCGGGCTTCTGGTTGTTTTACCATGGTTTCCCTCCGTTAGAATGGATTTGTTTTGTTTTAATTATTAGATTTTTCATAGATTTTTGGGGTTTTTGTGAAGCGATAAGGATAAAGCAGACAGGCGTTTAAAGGTAAAAAGCACAGCAGGCAGGCAATAAAAGCAACAAGGAAAGGGCAAAAAACAAAGCAAAAGGGTAAACTATAAGGCAATTTTAACTTCATTGGCATCATTTCCCTCCAATCCTTTCCTTCCACTCCCACCTAAACTCTTGGCATTCTTCGGCAGTATACTGGCGTTTCAACTCCAAAGCTCCACTCTCCAATATCTCTTCAATATATTTCACCAAATAAATCCCACAATCATAGCCTTTGCTTTTTCGATCAGTCGGCTGGATAATTTGAATGGGAGTTCCCTCACCGCAAATTTGCTCAATAAAGGGCTGTAATTGGGCTTTCTCTACCTCTAAATCAGCCCCGCCGGAAGAAGTATAATAAACCTCTGTCTCCCTGGCAGCTGGCTCATAGTGCATGTTCTTACCAATAACTTCCTCCCTGCCCCTTTCTGCCAAAATAAACAAGCCCCAGTGATTTCCATTCACTCGCAAAGGAAACAGCGTATATTGAGCTTTATTTCATTCTAATTCTTGGAGAAATTCCGCTAAATCCCAAGTTTGCTTATTCTTAGCCTGATAAAAAGCGTTGTAGACATTAGCAATATCCGTCCTTAAATGGAATTTCTTACTCACTCGGTTTTGCTGAGCTAAGGCAGCCTGGATTGGTGGATGGTTTTTCAAGATAAATTCCAGGTTATCGTCCGTCAGTCAACCATAATCAACGGGAGCTTCAGTAGGCTTAGGTTCTACCGGCAAATTCACTCATTCTCTAAAACTCTGCTCGCAATAAAACGCAAAGCCATCCATGGCTCTTAAACTTCAAATGGCTTGTAAATATTCCCAACGATCCTTGTTTTCGGCTTGGAGTAGGCTAATTACTTGGGTTATTTTACTCTTTTGCTGGGGATTATTAAAGCTTTCTAGCCAATCCTCACAAAGACCAAGCAGTGTTTGCCGGTATTGCTCATCAGGGTTGGTTTCAATAAATTCGGCACGAGGACAATGGTAGACAGGCTCTTTTTCAGGTAGATTGGTTAGCATAGTGGTTGGAAACTGGCTTTTTTTCGCCATAATCTCGCTCGGAAGCACAGGAGACAAGGGTTTAATTCGGGCAGGAGGGCAATTAATCACCGGTGGCTTGGTGGCAGGCAAACTAAAAGGCTTAATTGGCAAGCTACTGGGCAGGATAATGGTTTTAGGAGCAATAAAAGCTTGGCTACTGGGCTTTTGGGTTAATTTCTCTGTTTGGCTAAAATAATACACTACTAGTGCGATAAGCACCAAGAGAATGATAATTTTGGCTTTATTCATGGTCGGTTAATTTCCTTTGGAGGGTAGCAAGCTGGTCTTCTAACTTGGCAATGGTGTGGTCTTTATACCAACACTGGGAACAATGGCGTTTTTTCTTAGACATAGGGCAGGATTAACTCATCAGAAAATAAAGAGCAATCAAAGCCAAAATAGCATACACTCAAAGGTAATTCCTCTTCGGACTTTTGGCATTCAACTGTTCTTCTAAGGTGGCAACTTGGCTTTGGGCTTGGGCTAATTCTTTTTGTAGCGTTTGAAAAGCATCTCCTTGAACCGAAGCCGCTTCTAATTTGCTAATTCATTGGGTCAGTTTGCTGACTTCCTCTTGGCTGCTAGCTAATTTGGCTTGGAGGTCAGTATTCCGCTCTTGAATCAACGCATAAGCCTCTTGCTTTTTGGTGAGTTCTTCGTCTTTTTGGTTCTGGGTTTGTTGGTGGGCTTCTTTGGACTTTTGGACATTCTCTTGGGTCTGGGCTAAGGTGTTTTTGGTGTCGGTGAGGGTTTGCTCAGTATCTTTTAAAGTAGAACGCAAATAGTCCGCACTTTTTTGGAAGGTATCTTTTTGTTCGGCTAACTGGGTGATTTGCTCTTGGAGAGTGGTTTTTTCTTGATTTCATTCCGCCAAAGCTTCCTGTCTTTCTTTCAGTATTTTTTCTTGGAGGGCTTGTTTTTCGGCTTGTAAATTAGTGATTTGTCGTTCTAACTGGGTAATCTTCGTTTGGGCTTGCCTTTCGGCAGTGGTTTTAGCAGTTAATTGGCTTTGGAGACTGGTGATTTGACTTTGTTTCGCATTGATAGCTTGCTCTTTCTGGAGAATTTGCTCTTGGTAGTTAGTTTCTTTAGTTTGTAGCGTGCTTACTTGGGTTTCTAAGGTTTGGATTTTTTCGAGGAGTTCGATTTCTTTCCGTAAATGTTTAGTAGGTTGGCGGGTATTATCTCTAACGTTAGCTAACTGGGCTTTTTTACGTTGGATTTTGCTGTTTAAGCTTTCATTGGGGTCACTGGTAGTTTCTTGCTGCTCATGCTCGGCTAACTGGGCTTTTAATTGCTCGATTTCTTGTTTTCATTTATCAAAAAAAGTAACCAGGTTTATTTTTGGTGAATCAGTGATAGACAAATCAGTCAAACTCAAGCAATTCTCTAAACCCTTAATCGTCGTTAAATAATAACTTCGACTAATCACCAAACTAGTGAGATTAGGAACCTGACTAAAATCAAGTTCTTGACCGTAATAAGAGTCAATTTTTATTCACTTTAATAATGGTTTAGTTTCCCCTCAGATTATTTTTGCTGCTTCTCTATTACCACCTAAATTTTGGAATTGGAAATGAGTTAAACGGGAACAATCAGCCAAATTATAAGCGGTTGTTTTTTCATTACCTTTGAGAATGGCTAGCCTTTCTAAATTAGGAAAGCAAGAAAAGTTTAACTCTCCTTGAGCGGAGGGGTCAATCCAAAAAGTAGAACCACCTGGGAAATATTGTCTTAAAAAAGACTCAGTTTGATTACTAAAAAGCAATTTTAAAGTTTTTACTTGATTTTTGCTTTCTGGAGTGGGGAATTGTTGATTTAATCAATCTTGGGCGTTTATCATATTAGGGAGTTCCTCCTCATTTTGGCTTTGCTCTCTCTCTCTCTCTCTCTCTCTCTCTCTCTCTCTCTGTTTGGTCTGCTTCGGCTTTTCATTGCTTAACGATGGTTGCATATTTGTTTCATCCTTTGATTCTTGCTAAATTTTTCCAATGAGAAAAGGCTTCTGGTCATTTGGGTAAATTTGCTTTTCTTTCTTCCTTTTCTTCTAACCAAGCTTTGAATTCCTCTAAATTATAGTTAGTCATCATTGCCTCCCTTCCAACTAAACAAAACCACTACCCCTAAGCTAAAAATTAGCACCCAAGGAAAATTAAAGAGTGGGGAGTGGGATTTTGGTTTTTCTTCAATTGCCTTTAATTCTCAGCGGGTATTCTTTAATTCCGCTTGCTGTAATTGGCTTTGGAGAGTGAGTTTTTTGCGATTTAAGGCTAAGAGTTTGTTTTCTAGGCGGTGGATTTCTTGGACACCCTCTTGGATATTCTCTTCTAACTCGCCTTTTAAAGCTTGCTTTTCCTCATAGTATTCGCCAAAGTCTTTTAAGTTTTTTAAGCGTAGTTCGAGGATTTGCTGGGCTAAATCATTCTTGGCTTGTTGGTTGGCAGTTAACTCTTCTTCTAACTCAGTGATTTTGGCTTGGGCAACTTGGAGAGATTGGAGGTAATTCTGGCTAGTTTGGGCATGGAATTTAATTTGGCTTTGTAGTTGGCTGATTTCTTGTTCAGGGTTAAGTTGTTGGGGCGTTTCCGGTTGGGAGTGCGATTTTTTTAAGCGAATATTCGGCAAAGAGGGAGTCAGGGGAATATCTCCGGTAGATTTCGAGCGTTTTAATTGGCTCGGTTTAAAGTTTCCTTTGGCAAACTCTTGCTTAATTTCTTGGGCGAGTTGGTCTTTCATGGTTTTTGATTAAATAGCAACGGAGAATGGGCAGCTAGTGGTTTAATTTGGAGTCAAGGAAGCTTTTAATTGGGTGAGTTCGGCTTTTAGGGTATCTAGCTGCTTTTGTTCTTTGCCGTTTTTTTGTTCTAAGATTAATTGGCGAGTGCGGAGTTTGATGGTATAGCCAGCAAAAATGGCGAGGGAGATGACGTTAGTTAAGCCTAACATTAAAGCAATTTCACAGCAGGTAATCATAGTTACTTACTCGCGGCAATTAATTCAGCTAAGCCTTGACCCATCGTTTCATAACCGGCTTTGATTTTCTGGGCAGCTTTAGCTTTGACAGCAGACATTTTGGCATTAATGGTTAAGGCGTTATGCTTACATTCATGGGCAACTTGGGTGATTTTTTTGGGTTGGCTACCTTTTTGGCTTTGGTGGCACATACACTGGTAATAAGCAAGAGTGTTTTTAGGGCTTTTGGCTTTCACTAAGGCAGTAGATTTAATTTTGGGTTTGGCTTTCCGGGAGGGAGAAACCGGTTTTTTAGTTGGTTTTTTGAGTTGGGGCATTTTATTCTTCTTTCAATTGGGCTAATTTAGTGCTGTCAAAGGTCGGGTATTCACTTAATCAATCTGCTAAGGCTTTCACTACTAAATCAAAATAAGCACACACTAAATCTTGCGCCACATAATCAACATCGGCTTTAGTTCAAGTTTGGGCAGCAATTTTTTCTTGGTATTCTTCTTGGTCGGCATAATAATTAGGTAAATCATCTCTTAAAAGCACACGGTAGTCAATATCCTTTTCTGGGTCAAAGACGGAAGGAATAGCACTAATCGGGAGCGTTTTTTCAATTAAGTCGGCAATTAGGCTTTTGGAAGTTTTTTCGACCTCGTTTCAAAATTGTTCTTCGGAGGTGAGTTTAGGTTGAGGGAGGCGAGAAGGGCTTTTGGGATTTTTTCTAACACTGGGCATTATTCTCTTTTTTCCTTTCACTTTTTGTAAAAGTAAGCGAGAGCGAGACCGGCAATGATGCCAATGGCTAAGTAGGTGATTTTATTTTCTTTGATGGTTTTGAACATAGTATTTGATTAGTGCTTGTTTCAGGATTAGCACAAAAATCCTTTGCGTTGGAGGCTGTTGAGTAAGAAGCGAGTGTCTTTTTTAAGGTAGCGTTCAGTAGTTTGAAACTGAGAGTGTCCGAGGAGCTGTTGAATGGAAGGAGGCTCTAAGTGAAAATCATAATGCAAAATCGAAGCAAAAGAACGGCGGAGAGTGTGGGGAGTGATGGTTCAGGGTAGGTTGAGTTCTTGGGACTTTTTTTGGAGGTATTTTCAGATGGCTATCCGGCTAATTTTGGTTCACTGGTCGGGTTCTTTTTTGCTGGCTTTGAGGCTGATATAGGAATTATTGAGCAAGTTAAAAACTGCTCTTTCTTTTTTTCCTTTCCCGCAAACGATAAAGGCAAGCTGATTTTGGACTAATTTGGTTTTTCAGGTGAAGTTGATGGCTTCGGATACGCGTAAGCCAAGGAAGCCCATTAAAAGGACGACTTCTTTGACTTTATCGTTTCTTTTAGGCAAAGTTAAATGGGAAGGAGTTTGGCAGAGGGTGGCAAGTTGGGAAAGGGTGAGGACATTTTCTTGGAGGCGTTTGGCTGGTGAGGAAGGAATAATTAATGGGCTGGTTGGCATGGAATTTGGTTTTGTTAACTCGAAAGTGTTAACTTAGCAAAGGGGCAAGGTAAATGAATTTGTTAACTTAACAGCCTTTTTTGGCTAAATTAAGCCGTTGAGGTTAACATTATTGGCTATTGTGTTAACTGGGGAGGGAGCATGACTAGGAAGCTTAGTTATGGAAAATAATATAAATCGTTCAAAGTTTAAGTCTAGTTTTATTCCCCAGCTAACGCACAGTTTTAATATTAAAAGGCAAAAGAGTAAGGGAGGTATTAATCAGTGTTTCCACCGTCTGCTGGATTAAAAAGCCACAGAGCAAGGCAAGAACTGAGCAGAATATCAGGCTACCGGTATTCATTACCAATCACCTCCTAAGAGTTCACCTAAACGCTTAAATTGCCCGGAGCCAGTGTGTACTCAATGGCGAAAGTAGAAGCCAGCAATTAGGCAGATGGTGAATCAGATAAGGTATTTGCTGGACATTTAGGCTTTCTCCTTTCACTTCCCATAAAAGTGAGTTAAAGCCAAGCCGGCAATAATACCGATAGCTAAATAAGTAATTCTTTGACTAGTAGTTATCTTCATTGTGGTAGATTATTTCACTTTGTTGGTTTTGGGAAGCAGAATGGCCTTGGTCTTTTTTGGCTTTGATAAGCGCCAGAGCATAAGGGGCTAAATAGCCGACACAAATGCCTAAAGCGAGATATTTAAAGTTCATTAGTTGACTAACACTCCCTCTTCTGTTTCTTGGAAGCTAATTGGAATGGGCTTTTGTTGAGCTAATTCTTGCTGCCAGAGATAATTACCACCTTGAATTAAAAACTGCTTGGTAGGCTCAGTGTATTGAGCAACAATTCTTAATTCTGGTTTGAAAAAACTAGCAGCAGAGGCAGTGCGGGAAGCCAAGTTTAAGCCAATTATGGCATATTTAAGGTATTGATATTGGTTCATGGTT